AGGTGCCAGGCAAAGGTCATTTTACTCTCCAAGGTCATATATTAATAAAATATACCATGGATTGTAGCCTAAGACCTCCTTGTCTTTGAAGCACAAGAACTCAGTTTCTATTATAATGCATTCCMAGTACACTGAGATGAAAGTTTATACTGTGTTTTATGAACTACCATTGTAATATATTGACTTATATTTCCAGAGTAATAATTACCTTATTGTGATTAGGAAGCTATCATATTGTAGAAGCTCTGTTAATACTACTTAATTGTAGTCATCATAAGTTGTATATATTGTCTTATTTTCTCTTGCTAATAAGAAAATACCTCAGCCTTGGTAAGTTATAAAAAGATTTACTTTGGCTCACAGTTCTAGCACAAGATTGAAGGGCCACATCTGGTGATGCCTTCTTGTGGTAGAGTCCCCAGGCAACAGTGTGTCACATGACAAGAGACAGGGAGCCAGAGCCAGACCTCATCAAACTGGCTTTTATAATAGACCCATTCTTGAGGTCACCCATTAACTCATTAATTACACAAATAAATTAATACATTCCCTGAGAGCAGAGTCCTAACCACCTTTTGAAGGTCCCCCAGATCCCACCTCTTAGTATCTCATAATGGAGATTAAATTTCAGCATAAGTTTCAGAGGGAATAAACCTTGTTTAACCCATAGCACTATGAAATAGACGAAAAATCTTTTTWAAAAGTTTTTAATCTTCTATTTGATAAGAAACTAGGCATTTCTCACTGAAACAAGYCTTTTGAAGTTGTCATTTTAATATTCTTTTAAATCACTGAGTTACCTTTCAAAAAAGGAAAAAAAAAAAAAAAACTCTATCCAGATACCTTTGAAAACTACAGGTGATTTGCCTAGTAAGTTAGATGCTTTCGTCAGTATTAATGGGAAATAATTTCTCAAGAGAAACAAACAAAAAAAGCATCTTCCTGTGAACTATGTATTTGGATAGAAGTGTTAATTTTTTTTTTTTTTCTCTTCTACGTCCATGAATGTTGTTTGGTCTGATGAGACTGTGAAATGTGAACTAATTTCCCTAAAWGTTGAGATAACACTTAACATTTCATAAATAGTGTCAAGAGGATCATGAGTCACTACTACATTTTGATTCCTCCCTTGGGCTTATGAGTGACAACTGAGACTAGTAAAGGTCTTGCCACAGRTGTCCATGTGGCTGCTGACTTCATGAGACTTAAAGACCACATTGAAATCACTGAGATCCAAAGACTTTAGATCAGTGACCTCAAGAGAAGGAGAGGAAGTTAAGTCTTCTGACCTTTGAGTTTTTTCTCTCGAGTCCAGATACCTGTAGGGTTTGATATGCAGCCAGTGCTAATTTGTCTCACAAAGAATTTTTCTTGGATGAGTTTCTAKCATTTTCTGAACTCTGCTCTTGTTTTCAGTTTTTTTTTGTTTTTGTTTTTGTTTTTTCCCCCAGTATCACTGAGTATGGTCAATCCTCACAACATCCAACATCCAAAGAAGATAGCAAATGGGGCCCTTCTAATAAAGTTAGCCCATCATCAAGTAACTTGTTTCTGCAATTTTATAGATTTTATAGTCTGGCATAATACTGACATCCTTGTGCTCCAAATCAAAGCCATYTGGAATAATTTTGACCTTTGGTAAAATTTCCTATTAATTAACTTCTTCAATTAAATCACTCCCCCATTTTTAACCCTGAACTTAATAGAGTAGATTTAAATATGTAGCTTTAGTTACATAGCTATTTAAATCTATCAACAGGGTATCTCCATGGAATGTAGGCCACGTTCTGCTTTTCTAGAGACTTCTAGTCGCTGTATCAAGATTTAACACATTTCTAGCACTTTACTAGTAGTTTGTTAACTTTCTGCCTATCTCTGTTCTCTCTCGACCTTCAATCCATCCTTCCAGACTAATCTTCCTAAATATTGCTGTCATGCTTTTTCTCTGCCTGCCACATTCAGTGTGGCACTGTCCTTTTARAACAAAGTTAAACCAGACTGAATTTTAGTAATTATCTAGTTCACTCTCTTTGTTGTACAGAAAGGAGCAGAAGSTCCACAGAGGCAATGTGATGTGCCTAAGGCTAAGGAACTTGCTCTGGAGTCCTAATATTAGAACTGTTCCTAGTGAATCTCAAAACCTCCCATTTGATCCCCTTAGGCCAGCATTCAGTAAGCCTCTCTCTAATATAGTTACGGGACTTAACTTAATATAGTTTCTTTCTTYTMTTTCTTCATTTATTTTTTACAGGGGATTGARCCCAGGAGGGTTCTATCTCTGAGCTACATCCACAGTACCTTCCCCCTTTTTAAGACAAAGTCTTTCTAAATTGTCAAGGCTGGCCTTGAACTTGTGATCTTCCTGTCTTCCTGCCTCAGCTTCCTGAGTGGCTGGGATACTAGGTGTACACTACTATGCCCGGCTGATTCTTTTTTTTTTTTTTTTAATACTGAACCCAGAGCCTTGTGCATGCTAGGAAAGCACTGAGCTACATCCCCAACCCCCTGGTGTATTTCCTAGATCTTATCTAGTTGGCCCCAAACACCTCATGAGCTTTTAATTCATTGCCTTTGCACATGACCTATATTTAGAATATCCTACATCATTGCATTTAATACTCATTGACACTTATATCCATTCTTTTCATGAAGGTTATTTAATCCTTATAGAACTATTGGATAGATTCTTTTATAATTTCTATTTCATACATGTGGAAAATGAGGTGAAGAACTTGCCCAAGACTTCTGAGTTAGCATGTAGCAACACTAGGATCCAGTATAAGCAGTCTGTTTTCAGAACCTGTGCTGTCAGCCCCAACATCAAATAATGCTTCTAAGGAACATCTTCTAAGTGCCATGCTAAAGTCTCCCTCTACTCTATAAAACTTTGCACAGTGATCAATATACCTCAGAGAAGCTGAATTTATAGCAAGGTTATTTGTGTTTTCTGAATGCTATTTGACATACTGTAAGTGCTTAGACAGTAATATATTAATGTGTGAAATGACCATAAATATCTACAGTTTGACTTTCTAAGTTCTCTTCCAAATATAATTGGAAACGAACCAATGAAAGCTAAGAAAGTCGTTACAGGGAACGACTCTGTAGCTCAGTGTGCAGGGCACCAGCTCATAAAGCCAAGTTTACATCCTGCTTCTAGTAGTTACTCCTGATGCCTATGACCTTGGAGATGCCAGATAACCTCTCCAGCTCTCTGTCCTCATTTGTAATATAAACTTAGTAAGATAAGTCATGTGGGTTGTAGTAGAGACTATATRTGGAAATTTATAAATAGTAAAGCACTTTTCAAAAATAGTATTTTCTAAAATCCCACTACAAATTAAATGTCAATAAATCAGCTTCATTCAGAAACATCCCCCAAACGATAACAGTGTGGAGAGTTCAGCATCATGGTCAGAAAACTTCTTGTAAACTGTCTTTGGCTTCTTTGAATCAAATTTTGTATATGAATTACTCACCAAATGGAATTATCTAGCATATTCTTTATATTTTTTCTACCTTTTAGATATGTATGCTGAATCTAAGTTTTAGTAATATTTACTCAGTTGATTGTATATTTAGATTTTTTTAAATAGTGTAAATTGTGCTTCGGAACAGGCTAGATGGTTGACAGCTCATGTTCAATCAGAATCCCTGCTCCGTTCTGCTGCATGTGGCATGGCTTCAGTTTACATGGTTGGTTCCTAATGAAAAAGCATATTGCTGCTCAGTCTCATATTCCAGCTTTCACACCTGCAAAGGTGTCCATTGTGTCTTTGCTACCAGGGCTTATGTAAAATTACTAGGTCATTTCGCTTTTCAAAGGTGGGGATGGAGCTTCAGAAGACAAAAGGAAGTATGAAAGAATGGCAGGACGCCAGTTGATTAATAGGAAGAAAATTAAGTGTAAAGGGCAAGAAAGACAATCCCTAAAACAAAAATGCCAGGTTCTGTAGCCACCTAGATATGTTTCCAATAGGCACTAAGGATTCTACTCTTTTACTGGGGATGACATGAAGAGAGATAACGGTGGAGACTTCACAGTGGCATATACTCAGGGCAGGTGTCTAGAGAGGTGATGAAGTTGTGTAGTGAGGCAAGGGAGGCTCTGCTATTGGGCCTGGATTTTAGTCCTGACTTAATGCCTAGTGGCCATGTAACCTTATTCAAATTACTTGACCTCGTTGAACCTCTGTTTCTTCATCTGTGTTAATGCAGTTTAAAGTGCTTGGCACACAGGAAATATTCAATAAAGACACTTTTACTATTGTATCATTAAGTGAACTGAAGAAGGAGCCAACAACCAGGTGTATCAGTGCAACAGTAAAATGAGTGTGAGTTGGTACCACTGGCAGTTGGATGATGGGAGCACAGTGGAACCAGTTCCTATTTTGGCTCCCCTCTGACTCCTAATGCCTTTACCTGGATGGTTGTCTTACCAAGTTGTTCTCAGATTCTAGAAGCTATTGGCAAAGCCAAAATGGAGCATATGGCTTATGTTGTGAAAGACTTGTAAGAGATGACCTAGTCCTGCAAACATGCATATGATCTCAGCTTCCTGTGGGGAAAAGACATCTTGAGAGACAGGCCGATGGGGTCGGATGTCTTCAAAATCAACTTGAGCATCCACCAGAATGAATGCAGGACCTGTTACAATTCAGTAGTCTGATATGGCCCTCAAATTTGCATTGCTAGCAGCTTCCTGTTGATGGTAAAATTTTACTTTGAGCTCTTACTTTGAGAATCACTGACTAAAAGAGCATACTTTATTACTAATTCTATGGAGGAATAAGTTAGACAATAATTCTAGTTGAGAATTCCAAGACTACAAATGGAAGTTGAAATTTGTATCATGTTTCCGAAACTCAGTAGGTGTAGTTACTCATAACTGAATTTGTTTTTTGGAGAGTGTGTTTGACTACAAAGAGAAATGGAGGATAAATAATACAACTAAATGATGTGTTTGAAATCTCTCTCTTTCTCTCTTTTTATCTCTGTAGGTGGCAAATCTTCCAAAAGACTATCTGATAACCCTCAACTATGTCACCGGGATGGACGTTTTGGTATGTAAACTGTACATCTCCAAGTCTCATTTTGGTAACTGAAAGAAGATATGGGATCCTTTGTATCAGATAGGAAATCAGATAAGAAATTGCCTACTGTTTAGGGCGTTGCTAATTGTCATGACTGGAAAAAAAGTATCTTCAAAATTTGACTTTCAAAACATTTTTTTTTCCCTCAAGCAACTGCCAAACTTTATCAGTGATCATTTCAGCACACATGCCTTAGACTTGTACATAGAGGAAATAAGGTCACCTTCTTTAGGTCTGGCCATATAATTCTTTTTCCCTGATCTTCTCTCAAAAAGGTTTGAGTGTAAAATTATGTCATGGTTTTCTTACCTGAAGACTCATATAAATCTCTATCATTCCTATTTAATTTGAGAATATGAAACATTTTATTTCTGAACATATTAGCAGTACAGTAGATTCTTTGAATCTTAAAAGTCTATGCTTATGATTATAATACATTTTTACTGAAATTTAAAAATTTTGTTTTGTACATTAAGAAATTTTTCAAGCAGAAAGAACAGCATTACACACACACACACACACACACACACACACACACACACACACACACATATCAGAGTTTATCAGACCTACCCATTGTGCAATATTGGCTTCAAATAGATTTCCCCTGGAGGAAACATAATCACTAAAGCCTGTGTTTGCTTTTTCCCTATACCATGACTTCCAACTTTTTCTTAGTGATAACAGTTATTCTGAGCTAGAATTTTTCATTTCAGTGCATGTTTTCCCATGTTGGGCCAAGGACACCATCCCTGGAGTTGTGTGAAAGATATAAATAAGTAACCCTGCCTGCTCTTATGCTTTACTAAAAAGTATGCATCCGTACATAAGCTATAGAGCTTTTCATACATTAAGCCAATCCCGAAAAACCAAAGGTTGAATGTTTTATCTGATATGTGGAAGGTAACCCACAATAAGATTGGAGTGGGGGGAAAAATAGAAGTTCAGTGGAGTAGACACAGGAGAATGAAAAGAAGGGAGAGCTGGTGGGAAAAGGAAAAGACAATGGAATGAACCTGACCTAACTTTCCTATGCACATATATGAATATGCCACAGTGAATTTCGCCATTGTGTATAAGCACAAAAAAATTAATTTCAAAAACAATAACTATGGGTAAGTGGCAGAAAGATCAATAGAGAGGGAAGGGGAAGGAGAGTAAATGGGGTCTGAGTTAGAACAAGATATATTCCATGTTTTTATAATTGTATCAAAATTGATTCTACTGTATGTAGTTAACAAAACAAAACAAAAACAATAACAGAAATTCAGTGTAGGGGCTGAGGATTTTACCTTAGTGGTAGAGAGCTTGCAGGGCCCTGGTTTTAATTCACAGTACCACACACACACACACACACACACATAAAGTTAATGATATTTAAAAGTTGCCACTTATATTTTTCATCATGCTTTTAACATGTTGTTTTATGCTCATTCATTTGGGTTCTTGGAGAAAATTTAAAACCATTTGGGCTACTCTCTTCTCTGCAACTCTCATCTTTCCACAATTTACCAAATACTTAATGTATATGGGCTTTGTATAAGTTGTTTTATATTTTGAGTAACTTTTGTGGATCAATCAAAATTATTTACCAATTTAAAAACACATTACTATGTGCTTTTAAATGCCTTCAGACCCTACAGTGATATAGTGTAGCCAGTGTTCATGGCTACACGCACATACACACACACACACACACACACACATGATTACTAATTAATTACTATATACATAATTTACTAATTAAAAAACATTTAATTAGTAAACATTTTAGCATGAAATGCCTGAAGTTCTTTAGAACTCTTTAGAACATGAATCTTCATGTGGAAACTTGTTACCCTTAAACCTAGCTCTAAGTCTGTTGAAGCAGGGAGAGTTCTCTGGAAATAGAGGTGCAGAATTATGGCATTCTGAAAGTTTATTAGTTCAGACCTTTGATCACTCGCTCAGCAAGTGTTTTGTTAAGGAAAACTACAGAGCCAGCACTTCGCTGAACACTTTAAGAAACACACATACATCAATTAGGCAATGACCTTATAAGCTTGAAAAATTTGGTTACATTGGAGATGGGAGTGGGGATTACCTGGTCTTTTTATAACCTTTTCCATTTGCAAAATGATTTCATACATTTTCTCTCTGGATGACTAGAAAAACCCTGTGAATTCGGTAGAATCCTATTATTATTCCTATTTTATAAGTGATACACTGGGAGGTTTGTATTTTGCCTAAGGTTACACAACTAGAAAGYGACAGTCTTGGAAAGAAACCCCAGCCAGGCCTTCTGACCCTTAACCCTGGGATGCAGAAAGTGAGGATCCCAACAATTTCAAAAAAATGCTGAGGAAAGTGCTGGGAGAGAAGGTTCTAGGTCACAAAGAACCATCCCTGCTCCCGACTAGAGCAGCGGTTAAGATGGCAATTGCCAAATTTACTCAAACAATCCTGCAGTTCTTTGCAAAATAACTGTTAAACCACAAAATAACTACATAGATTATTTTGTGCTGCTATAATCGTAGATGGTGCTAAATCATAGATTTTAGTGTTGGCTGGTGATAGCAAGAACCAAAGTTGTAAAAATAAAGCCGATTTATGGCCACATATTTTTGTGCATGTTTCTGTAATTGAGAAAAGTCCGCTATTATTTGATCTTGGCATGCTGTCCTGGAACTACTGCAGAAACATTGTTCTTGGCCACCCTAATTGGCAGGAAAAACATGCCCGTGCATAGGGCTTTGGGCAGAAACTGGGGTCTCACCCTTTATTTTACCTTCATTTAAAACTGTTCATTTCTGCCAAGACCAGAGGAGTTTCCCAGTGGAGAGGCCTCTGATTATTTGTCAGTGGTCAGAGTCCCAGCTGCTGCCCTATCTTTTGTCTTGAAACAATAGAGGGTGGAGTGGGAATGGGTGCCAGAAAGATTCCCTGGGGCCAAAGCAGTAAAATTTTGCCTTAGGCACTAGACAGAAGAAAAGCTCTTGAATAGAATACAGTTAACTTTTACTTTTAAAAATCAGGTAAGTACTGCTGAAAGGGGGACTCTACTTTCCTAAGGACTTTCTTAGAAAATGACCTAGCAGATTCCCTCTGGCAAATAACAGGTTGTGATCAACCAGTTGGTATTTAAATCCAATGATAATTACCAATTCTATTTTAAAATCTTCAAAACTATAATATTACTAGGTGGTTAGGATTCCCTTTAACTTCTTAACCTTAAAAGTATCTAAACATTTCTTAGCCTTTTCATTTACCTGTAATGGTATCGTAGGAAGAACAAAAATTGAGTTGCTGAATTTCTGCCACCCATCTGCATTTCATTCTGTTGTCTGTAACACAAAATAAACTATGAGTTGCTTGTTTGAGTCAAAATTCTTCCTTGGTTTTTAATTAACGTAAATTATATACACACAGTTTTCTTTTACCTTTCTATTTGGAAATAATTTTAAATTTACAGAAAAGTTGCAAGCATATACAAAGGATATCATATACCCTTTAATCCAGATTCACCTGTTTTTAACATTCTGCCTCATTTACTTTATCAGCTACTGTTTTCTGGTGTGTGCACGTGTGTTATTCTTTTCCTGAACCCCTGGAATAAGTTGTGTCCATCATGGCCATTTACCTCTTATACTCCAGTATAGATTTCCTAAGTAACGAATGATTCTCTGAGTTATAGTAGATTTGCAATTTTAGTAAACTTAGCAATAATTATAATACTTTAGTCTATTGACTGTTTTTCAATTTTATCTCCCTTTTATAAAAATTTATTTTCTTCTGGTAYAAGATCCAGTCTGGGATCATTTGCACTTGAGTATCAGTATAATGATGGCTCCTCAAAAATGTCTTCTCCTATGAATATATCACCTTTTATGGCAAATGGGAGTTTGCAGATGTGACTTAGAGTGTTGTTAGAGGAATATTATTCTGGATTATCTGGGTGGTTCTAGTCTAATTTACAGGAGAATCTTTATAAAGGATGGTAGGTATATCAGAGCTGAAAAGGGAGATTTGAAAATGTTACTCTTATAGATTTTAAGGAGGAAGGACCATAATAAGCCAAGGAACATTGGTAGGCTACAAAAACTGGAAAAAAAAAGTTCCTTTAGCACCTTTAGAAGATACATAACCACAATGAAGCACTTCAATTTTTTTTTTTTTTTTTTTGTACCAGGGATTGAACCCAGGGTCACGTAATCATGAAGCCACATCCCCAACCCTATTTATATTTTATTTTGAGACAAGGTCTTGTCAAATTGTTTAAGCCCTCGCTAAGTTGCTGAGGCTGGCTTTGAATTTGCCATCCTCCTGCCTCAGCCTCCTGAACACAGGGATTATAGGCATGTGCCTCTGTGCCCAGCTTGATTTCAGCCTTCTAAGACCTATTTTGTATCTCTCACCTGAAGAACTATTAAATAGAAATGTGTGTTCTTTTAAGCCACCAATTTTGTGGTGAACTGTTGTAACAGCAATAGGAAATTAATAGGTCATGTGGATATGCCATTGAAGTTTTTGAATGAGACAGACCTCCTTTTGGTAAAGTGTCTCCTTCAGGTCTTTGATTGATGGAGCTTATGCATTCCAAGCCATGATGCTACCTGTGCTRCCTCAGATTATCACATCCAGAGGCACAAAATGTCCATCTTCCCCCTTCTGTCATCTGGTTAAAGTGTTCAACCATTTCTGTACAATTAGCCATCTTTGGGGAAAACACTTTTAAGAGCATGTAAACACACCTATCCTCATCAGTGTTTCTCCTATAGCTGGGATGGTGCTCAGTGGTGGAGCTCTTGCCTGGCTTGTATAAGGCCCTGGCTTTGATCCTCAGCACCACACATTGAAATGTTTCTCCCATAGACTGAACATTTGTGGATGATTCTTACCTGAAGCAATTCTTACTGTCAAATCTTATATCTATTTTTAATTAAGATTTTTAAAATTTTTTTTCTGATACTATTTTTTAAAGATATGACTAA